AACAGGGACGATTAAATAAGACAATATATGTATATCACATGGCATCTGGCACATATTTAAGCTCAATAAATGTTAGCTGCTATTAATATTCCTGTGATTATCACTTACCCAAGATTTCACAGCCAGAATCACAGACTCACAGACTCAGATGAACCTTAAAAGGTTGCTCAGCTGAACCAGCTGGTGCGTAGCAATGAATGGAATACAGGCAGTGTGGCCCCAAGCCCCTCAGGCCACAGGCACCAGCCAAGCCAGGAAGCCCCCATGTCCTGCCTGCCCCCCCCCCTCACCCTGTGCAGGGTGGGCCCTCACCATTGATGATGGTCCGGCGGGTGATCTCCCACAGCACCAGGCCAAAGGCCCAGATGTCCGTCCACTTGTAGGACTCGAAGCAGTCGGTGCGGATCTGCTCGTCCAGCACCTCGGGGGCCATGTACCGCTTGGTGCCCACTCGCGGGTTGTTGCCGATGTCCAGATAATCGCTACCCTGCGAGTGCATCACGGCCAGGCCTGTGGGTACCAGGGCTGTCACTTCTGCTGCTCACCCCAGCCCACGGACAGCGTGGCCCCAGAGGCTGCGGTCTGGGGGCGGGGTGGGGTTGCAGGCAAACGGAGACCTGCTCTGAGGGGGGCTGGGAGAACAACTGGCTCCCTTTCGTTTACTTGTGTAGGGCTCTCTGGGTGCCCAAGAACCCAGCGAGATGTGCGTGGGCAAGGCAGGCATTATTACGCCCATTTCACAGAGCAGGACCTCAAGGCCCATGAGTAGGAGCGATGTGGTCAGTGAAGCCCGGAGGATAACCGGGGTTCCTGGCTCCCTGCTCCTTTCTCCCAACTCCTGGACCCCGGGGTGGGGTCGGGTGGTGGAAGGAGTTTACGCTTCGAAACAATGTTAGGCAACCTGTGGGGCTCTTGCGGAGGGGAATCGAGACAGCCAGCATCTCTTTAAGTTTTAAAGCGCCAATCAGAATCGCCGTGGTCGCCAGGCAGGCACACAGACACCTAGGCGACGGTGGAGCCAAGTGGACAGCGCACGCAGGGCCTGCGAAGGGGCCGCCCCTTCCCTGCCCCGCCCCTCGGAAAGGCCCACCTTAGTCCCCACCCTCCGCAGCTCACCCAGGTCTGCGATGCAGCACTGCAGGTTGCTCTTGACTAGCACGTTGCGGCTCTTGAGGTCGCGGTGGGCAATGGCCGGTTTGCCCTGAGTGCCGAAGATCTCCACGTGCAGGTGCGCCAGGCCGCAGGCCGCGGACACCGCCAGCCTCAGGGCCAGGCGCGGCTCCAGCGTCTGCCTCTGCAGAAAGTCGTAGAGCGAACCATGCTCGTGGTAGTGCGTGATGAGCCACAGCTGCGTGCTCGAGTTGCGGGAAGTCATGTCCGAGGCTATAAAGCCTATGGGCAGAGGGTCAGGTGGCTCAGCCAAGGGATTAGCGGTGAGGGAGTCTGGGCTGGGCGGGTCAGGGCTGGGGCACAGGATGGACTGAGTCCGGGCAAACGGGGGCTGGGGTGGTGGCTGCTCTGGCTTAGGGCAGAGAGGAAGCCGGAGTCAGAGGCTGAGGCCGGGCTGGGAGTCCTTCAGGGTGGGGTCAGTGACCAGAGGCTGGGGGCTCCAGCCTTGAGTGCAGGGGATGAAAGCCGGGGCCTGGCA